TTCACTATCTAGTGTAAGGAACCTACCTTCAAAATCAAGTTGAAAGCCTTCACAGAAGTTGTTGATGATAGACCACAGTTAGAGTTCAACAACCAGAAGCTAAACTGAAGGATGAAACTACAAAGGACATCTTCATATCAGTCAGCCATTAGCACAAAATGGGAGACATTGAGCTACATCCCTGGAGATACCTGCATGGAAGAACACTGGAACTCTTTGAAAGCAATGTGGAAAGAAACCTGCATAACCGTGTTAGGAAGGAAGAGGAGGAGGCAAGACAAGGAATGGATCTCCACGGACACAGGGAAGCTTGTAGAGCAGGAAGAGGAAGGTAGTGAAGCCGATTAACCAGTGCAGTGCAGTGTAGAGATGAGCAACGAAAATCGGAACTGAATACAACACTAGACTGGACAAGGAAGTGAAGAAGATTTCGTGAAAAGACAAAAGACACTTCTACGACACACTGACGAGTGAAGCAGAGCAGGCTGCAGGTAGGAGATTCAGAGACCTGATAACATTGTATCAAATAACCAGGTTACTATCTGAGATGGAAGAGATCACCACAGAGGAAATCAATGAAAGATAGTGAAGGAAAGCTAGTTACCGAAGAAGAGGAAAAAAAGGAAGCAATGGGCCGACCACTTCAAAAAGCTCTTGAATCTACCAATACCACAACCGGAAACTCATCCAGAAACACCAGCAGAAGCCACAGCATCAATAGTGAACACAAGACCCCCAACAAAAAGTAGATTCCTGAACGCCATGAGGTTGCTGAAATCCGGGAAAGCAGCAAGACCCGATGGAATTCCAACAGAAGCACTGAAAGCAGACACGGAGACAACAGCAGACATGTTCACACCACTATTGCAGAATGTTTGCAAGGAAGGAAGTAAAGGTACCTGTCCATTGATTGGAAGGAGAGCAACCTTGTCAAACTTCCAAGAAGGGAGACCTAAGTCTTTGCAAGAACTGGCGCGAAGTCATGCTCCCTCCCTGTCCACCCCAAGCAAAATATTGATCTACATCATTCTGGATAGAGTAAAAAATGATCTCGATTCAAAATTACGACTGGAACAGGCTGACTTCAAGAAGGACGAATCATGTGCAGATCAAACTGCAACACTACGCTACCCGTCATCATAGAACAGAGCATAGAATAGCAGTCAACTAGAGCTTTACCTCATCTTCATCGACTTTGAAAAGGCCTTCGATCGAGGTGTCAACCGAGAAGTAATTTGGCAGCTGCTGCTTTAAAAACGGCAGTGAAGATACAATCCAGATTACACTTATTAGAAAACAGGAAAATATATCAAAGTGACAAAAACAATGAGAAGCGAAGTTGATAACCCTGTAAAACGATAATCCCTTTGTTATGTATTCCGTTGCCAATTGTTATACCTTCAGTAAGACAGTGGTTTATATATTCCGAAGGAATATAATACGCACGCTTAGCTGACAGCTAACTTAGTACGCAACAGCCGCTGACTGCAACCCCGGGACGAATGGATAGAAGACCGAAGCTGGCAGATGGAGAGTTTATTACTCCGAGAATACAATAATCGATCAATCTAAAAACACGTGAATATGTGAATATACGTTAAAAATGACCTTGTACGCAATTGAAGTAAAGGTTAACCAATCAGAGATTTACATTAGACTGGAGGCAGACAATAGACTACTAGTCATACCGTAGGAATGGTGTGAGAATGATACGTTAAAATGTTCAGATCAATAACAATATTTGGTACAAAACTGTGGCATTACAACACCCTTATCGAAAAATGTGTTTATCCTTTCCTCTAGCTTGATATTTCTCATAGTATGTCTGATAATTTTTTTGTGTTGCTGTCAAATATGAATGTTTGAACCGATTGAACTCAATGCACAGTTCCATTTTGATATGTTGAATTCGGTCTACCAGCACACTGAACCTACTCAGCTGTATTCAGGTAGTCTGTTGTGATGAGAAACGTCTAGTCATATTTCTATAAGATGGCCTGCTAATTCGTGTAAAGTTACTGTCAATCAAGGAAAACTGATCACTTCGTGAAGGGTGTATGCTCCAGGACAACACTTCATTCGAAGATAAAATATTTTATAGGAATCGGACAATAAATTATATCCCCATAAAACACTACATTCACTAGACTTGATGTTCTCTCAAGAAGAATAAATGAGTGGACAAAGAAGAATTCGTAGACGAGGCGATATACACATTTTTCCAGCTCTATCCCTATCAGTAAAAACGAAATTTAATTAAAACCCGAAGTCACAGAATAAAGTCTGTTTGTTCGGAAGATACAACTGAGAAGGAACTAAGGAAGTTGCGTAAACACCCCTGTCGAAATGAATATCCTGATAAATCCATCAGCAAACATGTGACCTCAAAATGTCAAGAAAAGATACTCCAGCGTCTAACAGAAAACCATTATTCATTGAGGTAGAATTTACAGGTGTTGTACTTACCGAGATATTGATTCGCAAACTATGCAGATTAATTGAGAGATCTTTCGACGCTAGTGAAGTACAAATTATGTTTTCTACATGCGCATTAGTGACACCGAGACTAAAAAGTGAAACACCTAGACTATCCACTTCTTGTTGTGTTTATCAGTTCAACTGCTCCTATGAAACTGGTTATGTTGGCCGCTCTACTAGGAATTTAATTTTCTTTGCTCGCGGACACCTTCTAGGGTAATTAGGTAAAGGTGTGTTGAGGGCTATTACCAGCTTCATATTGGCACACTTGGTTGAAACTAAAAATAGGGCAGATACTTATAAGTTTTCAATCATTGCAAAAATGCACTACTATGGATGTATATCAGCGTAACAATAAACCCTGTTTACCTTCGTTTTTACTTCATAGTTATCGATTAAAATTCCTCAGCTGATACCAAAATTAAAGTTCAAAGGTTAAATAGTTAAGTTCCAGTTCTTTTGGGCAAGGAAACTATGTCTGTCCTGCTTACTCAAGACACAAGCCTTTCAGAACGCACAAAACTTTAATGTTCAAGTCTAATGTGATTCATTGATCTTTGTCTGACAAAATACTTCAAACATAATGGCAAGATGTACATACAAAATGAAAGGAACTCCAATAGGATCACTGATATCCATACTAATTGCAGAAGCAGTGATGAAGAAACTGGAAGCCGCCATTTTGCCAGTTACCAAATCAAAAATTTGGATTCGTTATATGGACGATACTTTTGTTATCATTAAAAAGATGATGTAGAAAACACGCACAATTCGATCAACAACGTTTTCAATAACATCGCATTCGCAACGAAGAAGTAGTCGGACAACCAACTGTCATTCCTAGATATTTTGGTCAGTAGAACAAATCCCGGAAAGCTGGAAACCCCAGTGTACAGGATGCCAACATACACTGACCAAATCCTCAACTACATTAGCAACAACCCAACAACACACAAAATCAGTTGCGTGCAGACTCTATTCAAAAGAGCGAGAACACACTGCAGCACAACAACTTCACGGAGAAACGAAGAAAATTACTTGATGTCCACCTTAGAGAAAAACGGCTACCCGCAAAACTTTATCAGAATATATCCATTCCGTACATCATCAACGACAAAGTTGTCGACAGAAATCAACAAACGCATCATCCTACCATACACAAAGAATATATCAGAAATCACAAGATTACTGAAACCACTTGGAATCGGTGTGGCCACTCATAAACCAACAAATTCCCTCCAAACCACATGTTGCAGACCAAAGGATGCAACAACCAAAGAAGATAAGCCAAATATGATAAACAAAATCAGCTGCAATAACTGCAGTTAACATTACATTGGACAAAGTGGCCGCCCTCTTCACCTTCGTCTACATGAACACCAATTGGCTATTAAACGTCACGACATTTCATCACTCATTTCAATGCATGTGGATAATTTTGGACATGATTTCAGTTTCGACAATGTAGAAATTTCGGACAGAGGAAACACAAAAAATATCAGCAAATTCCTAGAAGCTTAGCATTCAGGTCAGTCAGCAGTCAACAGATGTAAAGACAGACCCGATCTATCAACCAATAAGAAAGACAATAAACGGTAGGAAGGTCAGAGGTCAAGCAGAGAGGCAGCCAACAGGAAAATAAATAGTCAACGGCACAACAATCAAAGGAAACAACCAGTCAGAGACCACATCGTCAGAGCAAGCTACTAAATCAATCATGGAGAGATATTGACAGCTCACTTCAGACTGAAATTAGTGCTGATGATGTCGTCTAGATGGACGATGGAAGGTTTACGATTAAATAACCCAGCTCAGAAAACACAATACAACCAAGATTATCTGTCTAAGCTACAAATACTCTTCAACTTCCCATCTCGCCAATTGGTCCTTAGTTTTCTGTAGTGATTACAGCAGTTGATAGACTATACATTCACTGTTGATAGCAAATAACTTCGGCAACGAGTAGGTACAGATAAATATCAATAAGTCTAACTTGACTTCGTTTTTTATCCTCTGACTCAAATTTGAAATTTTACCGATCCACAAGAGTATAAATGAAATGTCGAAATGTACAATAGAAAACCAACATTCATCGAATTAACAGTTTCACAATAAACTTATTACGCAAATTATTCTAGATTTTGGATACATTTGAAACTACGCAATCGATTGTAATTGTTTAACATATTTTTTTTCGCAGTTTTCATTTACACACACACACACACATACCCATTCCACCCACACAGACATCTACAGCTAGCCTACAATTATATTTTTTGAGCTGGATAAGTGTAGACTGCATCAGAAACCAAGTATTCTATCCGTTTAATTTACTTCACACGCAGTTGAACCCCCAACTCTCACTCAGAGACTCACATACACACACACACACACACACCGATATTAACAAACTGAGAACAAATAAACTTGTATACAGCGCTGTTTATCAGGTAACAATATCATGTCCACGTTATATATATATATATATATATATATATATATATATATGCAATTCATGTTCCAGAGTCTTAGATTTCTGCAAAATGCATGTTTATTACAAATCAGCTCAATTAAAACTGTTTTATTGTAAACCAAAATGAATGAATTTTTAAGACGAGAAAAATTTTTTATTATGTTTCCTAGTAAAACAGCTTAAAATAAATTTGTTTTGGCATCAATCAGACGTTTTGTAACAGAAGTTTGAATGAATAAAACGGAATACGTGAAGGTGGATTATTATGAATCGTAAGTGATTCCTTTCATAATTCTCTTCATTTCCTTTTTTTTGTTGACTTGTCTCTTATGAAAATAATATTCTTATGCTTAGCTAACTGTACTGATAAATGTGTTGATTGTACCCAATGTTAAATGCATTATGACTGATTTTTGACATAAGTGCTTAATGTTTATATTTGGGACCAGCATAAAAGGAATATGTGTAACGAGATCACTTTCTTAGCTTCATGTAAAACTATTTACTTCTTCAAGATTATTTTGATTGAAAGTGATGACGAAACAAAAGTAAGGTAACTGTTCAATTATCATTTTCACTATCTGAGATGGCTATGGTTTGACAGATTAACATTGATATTGAGTGATGATTGAAGAGGAAATGAAAATATGGACCATGGCCAGATTTAAACTAGCTGCCATCATGTTTCTGGCCTAATGCTGTACCAACTGAGCTACTAGGTTCAAAAGGCGCAGCATCAGACTGGGAACTCAGTAGTCACTCGTTCGAATCCGGCTGCGGTTCAAATTTTCATTTCATCTTCAGTCATCACTCAGTTTCGTAACTGTTCACATTGAAATTGTAGTAAGGAATGAATTTGATCATTCTATCAAGATGAAGTCTATTCTAAATGCTCCATTGAAATACAAGATCCATAGTGAGGTTAAAGATATGACAGGTTCCACGAAAAAAGCAGTCAGAAAGTCCTTAGAGGATGTTTAAAAGAGAAACTGATCGATCATTTCACATAAAGCTTGATGATCTTGTTTGTCTTTTATGTATAGTGTACTTAAGAGAACAACAGAATGTTCCAATAAGACATATTATGAATGCTTAATTCACCTTAACGTAGAGTTGCCCGTTGGTTAGCAAAAACGTTGCAGCCTGTTCGTCAGCTGTTCGCGAAATATACTAAAAGACTCTTACCAGTTTGTTGAAATGGAAAACCAACTTGATGTTTCGAATGAGTTAATAGTTTCCTATGATGTGATTCCCGTATTTATGGAGGTGCTTATTCCTGAAACTGTTGATATCACCTCTTCATACACCAATCGCATCTCTCTACCAAAAACTGACTCCAAGACATTTCGTCTAATCTGTGCAAAAAAGATGTCCAGTTTCAGTTGCTGAAGAGGCAGTGGATAATCCATTAGGCCTTATATTTGCATATATTTGCATGGGCAATCTTGGCCTGACAAAAATCAAATATGCAACTGCTGAAACAATATCCTACTACATATTCATTGACAACACGTCCATTGTAGGTAACAATTTACACCACGCATCACATCAGCGGTGTACACAGAAGTATTAATTTCACAATGAAGCATAAAGGCAATGGTACATTCGACTTTCTGAACATTAACGCTCAACATAGAAATGATGACACACTTCAGCCATCTGTTCATCATATAGGCACATGGAATGGTCTTCGCCCTCATTTCATCAATTTCTCTCCAGTCAACTGCAAATGAGCACTGGTTACGAAGTTGCTTTGTAGATCATGAAGAATATACTCAGCAAATAAACTTGGAGAGGAATAATGGCTTCTTGGGAAGTAACTAATGAAACAGATATCCAAAAAGCTTCATTAACAAGTATAGTGGGATAGAATGCAGTATAACTGAGGAAATAACAGTCAATAAGGAGTCAGTCTTCATTCATTTCAACTTCAGAGGTGGTGATATGGCGATTATGGTAAGCCTAAGAATACCTATTTCATTGACCAGAAATTATTCCGTATCAAAGGTAGTTTTCTTGTTTCGTACTTCTTGTTCGCTGGTGTAATCAAAAACAAACAGGTATTCATCATATTTTACCTCCAACTGTGTGTATCAATTTGGTTACGTTGACAGGACTGACAGAACATTTCCTGAAGAGCCTACGATTGAGTGGAGCAAGTATCTGTGGTAATGCAATTACTATAAGCTTAGTGGACATCAAGTAGATACCCTGAAGAAACCAAATTTAAATGTTCATAATTAATCTGTTGACAATCTTCAACTACTCTGGCAACCTACTTTCTTAACCCTTCATTTATTAGATTACATTATAATCGTATCATTGGATTTTCCATTTACACTGAACCCCAATTTTAATGTACTGAGTTTTATTCAAAATATTCTTTTACATTTTGTTTTCTGATGACACTCTTTAAATCAATATCATTGTTCTTCATTAGCTTACTGATGAGTAATGATTACAGGTGAGTAGGTAAATTTTAAACATATACTCATATAAAACTTGAGATATTGTGTTAGCAAACCAGGAAAGGCTTTTTCAAAAACATTCTAATCGTCTCTATGTGAATAGAACAAATATTTGAAGTCTCCTGATGGAATCAATTTAACCTCCGTCTAATGACTTTGCTGACACTATATTAAACAAGTAAACCAAGAGATACTCATGAGGGTGTTCTTCCTGCCTACTTATGAACACAGTGTACTAATCACCACCTGATTTTCAGTAACTATTATTTATTCACCGGCAGTAATCATCCACATCATGGTGAAACGGTGCATGAATTTTGGCGTAAACAGGGCAGCAAAAGCAGTGGTTAGTACATGCTTCGACACCGTGACCTGCTAATACTGCTCATGGGAAGGCTGCTGCGACAATAACCTGTCAACGCGTATGATAATGAATTACGCTTAACGAACACATGTTATCAACAAAAGTATTTATAAGTGTTCCTTGATTGAAGGAGTAAAAGAACTATTGATTTTTGCATACAGTTGTGATAGGAGTGAAGTATGCTATCTCTACATGTTACTAGAAGATACGTGAACGTGATATGCTATAGCTTTCCACTGTTTATTTGATCTACTGATGCCATTTATTGGGAGCACTCTTCTGACGATATGATATACATCTATCTCATTGTATTAAGCTTGTAGTCCTAATAAATATGATGGTTGTTTGTTAATATAGTATCGTATTCTAGACAGATTCCACCTTTTAACCTTAGGATTTTTTTGTGCCAAAGCGAGTGTTTCCTTTTGGATTACGGAGATTTCATTTGAATGTTTTGCTATGGAATTCTTAGGAGAATTTCACCGCAAATGAAATTCATACTTAACTGAACGCCAATGGTAACGGTATATTCCACTATCTATTTATTTTAACCAAAGGAAAGATTAAGTGAATACACACACCCACACCAGAAAATATATAAACGATCATATTAGGATACTGAAAGAGAATGAAAGTACTTCACACTAATTTTTCGTCTGTAAGTGTATATTAACTTTGACGGTGCTGTATTTCTATGGCCTGGATGATTCAATCATATACCAACTCTGTCTTTCTTGTGTACATGAAGGTGAAGTCTGTTACTTCCTCATAAAATCATATAAATTAAAAAAACTTAGATAGGGGATACCTCGATGTCAAACATTTTTATTTTCAATATGTGAGATACGGTGAAGAATGAACCTGGATTTACTGACCACTCATCGTAATCGGATGGTCCTTATTAGTCTGTATATTCTTGAGTGGTTAAAACACGTTTGATTTGGTTCCATTGATGTTCTCTTTGCATTTAATTCCATTTTTTGTTCACATCAAAGTAAAAAAATAACTTGAGTTGAACAGTTCTGAATAATAAGTGGATTATTCTGTTAACAGAATGAAAGAAACTCATTGGGATCCTATATTTCGAGGACTGACTCAACGACTTTCAAATCGTCTAACAGAAATATGTTACTCGCGAACAAATTTACCAAATGATCTCTGGTTGTTTGCTAAGCTAGAAAAAATTCAGCTTAAAAATGACATAAACCGAGAAACCAACTGCAATCTCAGTATAAACAATAATGGAACATACTCACAAATTCATCTATTTCTCAAACGCTTAGGTACAAATATTACTGCAGAACTTGAATCTACACATTCCACACAAGTAAGGGTCCAAAATAATGGTCCTTTACTAAATGCTAAACCAAAAGCGTCATACGTTTCAAAAGCTTATATGCACATAAAACAAGCTACACAACAAACTTCTAACTGTCTAAGTACTTCACAGAATTCACTCCTACTCTCACCAAGTGTTTCTCAATTAATACCTGTTCAACCATCACACTATTTTAGATCAAATCCATTTGCTCAATCATTGCAGAATATGCCTTCAATATCTATATCTCACAGTCCATTGAAGTTAGATATCATTCAACTGAACGATATTTTGCTATTACTCAGCAATCATATGAAATTGGCTCCAACTATTCTAAACCCATTGGCTTATACAAATACTCAGGTTAACAATGACCTATTAACCCTTTCAAATATATTAATTTTAAATAACTTATGCACTATTTCAAACAGTGCCTTATCAACACATCCATTCATCATTGCAACAAGAACAGAAAGACAAAATCATAGGAATTCCTATGTTTTACTTCCATGTTTAGACTATCAACATCCTTTTATTGAAACACCAAACATTATGATGTGCAAAAATCTTCTACATGCTAACTATTTACCACAACAGAATTCTAAGAAATTATTAGTTACACCGTTCAACATATTCAGTTATATTCTAAATGATCAAAGCAATGTTTTTGAAAATATACTGCCAACAACTTCCAACAATTTTTGGAACAATTCACATTTGGAAAGTGATTTTCCGATTAATTCAATGTCAGTAAACTTCATTCCAAATAATACATCGAAAATAACCAATTTATCAAAGATAATAAGTAATCATAATTGTATAATTTATTCTACACCATTTCCTCAGCTGGCTACTGTCAATGTCATGTCTCCTAATTTAACTACAGTTGAACAGTTGAATTTAAGCCTAAAAAGTCAACCGATACCAGATATTGGACAGTATCATCTTGATATACTATTTGTACAAGATGAGGCCAAAACTAGATTTATGTGTACAGTGAGTAATAAAAAGTAAATTTCATTCAGTAGAAACTGACATGTTCATAAGATTTAATTTTTTCAATTTTGAAGGTTTTTAGGGATTTGTTTTATTCATCTCAAGTTAGTATACATTACAGACTGATATCATTTGAAGAAACATTGAAAACCTGGAGCACTGGACAACTGTTTCGTTCTAATGTAGGACTATTCAGCAGTAAGCATCAGTGACCCTGCCAGAGTGCACACCACCGAGGAGTCCTAAATTAGAACGAAACACCTGTCCAGTTCTCTTAGGTTTTCAATATTTCTCCAACTGATATCAATCCATAATGAATGCTTATTTAGTTTTTTCTCCTGAATGTACGAGTGTAGCTTATTTAGTGTTCACCGGTGGTTTAAAAAGTAATAATATTCCAGTGTAGGATGACAGCGCAAATTGCTCGTCTGTTTCGTCCATAAATGTACATGCCCAAGTGGATTTAATAAAGGTAGAGGTTGCAAGAAAGTCATCTTGAGTTTTATTATCATTGTTATTTTTCCATTGGGTTCCTGGTGGAACATAGGGCTTCAGTAGCACGCCACATTTACACTCTCTTCTCTGCAGTCTCTTGGACCTCGCTCCTCGACTGCCCGGAAGCTCTCATTTCTTCCTCACATGATCTCTTCCATGTCACCCTCGCCTCGGACACCCAACTCGCCGTTTCCCATCTGGGTTCCACTCAAATGCCTGGCTTGGCACGTGATGTTCCCAGTCGGCCTTCTCGGTTTATTCCCAATCCATCTCCACTTCCACTTCCTTCTGCATATTTGTTGAGTGATAGGTTCCTGGTTAGTTCGTTGCCAGCCACAGTTCCTTGTCGCTTATTCTTATTATTCTGGTCATCTGATCTCGAGTATAGGGCGTAGGAAGTTGTTGATGGATGTCTGTAGTTTGTTGGAAATGCTTTTTGTAAAGCAGCAAGTCTCTCAACCATATAGAAGCGCTGACTTACTTGACTGAATTAGTATTGAAAATCCGGATCCCCTTCTTTGTGCTGAGTGCAGTAGATCTCCACATTGGTTTAAGATTAGTGAAAGCCTATCTAGCTGTTTTTCCAATCCTGGCTTTGACATCCTCGTCTGTGCCCGTGCCGTCTGTAGTTGAAACGATGCAGCTTTGTCTGGATAGGTGAAAGAGACAACTTCCTTTAAGTTTCTCCCGTTGGTGGTGATTGGTGCTTGTTGTTGGTTGGGTATCTTCATCACCTCCATCTCCTCTACGTTCACTTCAAGTCTCGTCTTCTCTGCCCTGGTTCTTCTGTCAACTTGTTGGTTTTTGCCTGTACATCTTCGAGTTTGTGCGACAAGACATTAGACACAAATCATCGGCAAAATCCAAATCTATTAGGGTCTTTTAATCTGTCCAATCAGCGTTCGCCCATCTTTTCGCTCCTCACGGTTTGCTGCGTAATCCAGTCCACCACAATCAGGAATATCATGGGTGATAGTAGGCAGCAGGCTTACTCCTGTCTTAATTTCAAAGGCATCACTGAGCTTTCCATTGTGAATTTCTTGGCATGTGGCGTCTTCATATTGCTGTTGAATGAGGTTGATAAAGACTGGTGGCACTAAAACCGTGGTGTTGAAGCAACTACCAAATTACTTCTCGGTCGACGCTGTCGAAGGCTATTTCAAAGTCGATGAAGTTGAGGTAGAGGGTAGATTGCCATTCTATACTCTGTTCTATGATGACGCGTTGAGTGGGACTGCAACTTGATCCGCATATGATTTGTTCTTCTTAAAGCCAGCCAGCCTGTTCCGGCTGTAATTTTGAATCCAGCTCATCCGTTAGTCTCTCCAGGATGATGCGGCATAATATTTTGCTTGAGGTGAACAGAAGCATGATTCCGCGCCAGTTCCTGCAAAGGCATTTGTCTCCCTTCTTTGGGAGTTTGACAGGATAACCCTTCTTCCAGTCAATCGGCAGGTACCTTTCCTTCCTTCCAAACCTTCTGCAATATTGGTGTGAGCACGTTCGCTGTTGTCTATGTGTCTGTTTTCAGTGCTGCATAAATTACATTAATACCAAAGATAAGACAATGAGTTCTTTTGATGTGAACTCTTTATTCACCAACATGACTTGAACCAAGGCTGTCTATATTTTATATGACTACATATCTTTGAATATTTCTTCTTTCCTCATCCCTCAAAAATATTTGAAGGAGCTACTACTACTACTATGCAACGATAAGGTTCACTTCACTTTCGAAATCGAACATTTTCGACAAGTTGATAGTATCACTTTGGGCAGTCCTTTAGGACCATTGTTAAATGATGTCTGCATGTCATATGTAGAACTTTTGGCTGAGAACATTATCAACAAAGTCCTTTCTGTACAGGAGATACGATGATGATATCTTAGTTATATGTAACAAACGCAAGGAAGTGAAAAGTCTTATGGTCGACTTAACATCAAACAAACCTACATTAATTCGTCATGTGAAGCAGAAAATAATAATCAGCTTCCTTTTCTTAACGTGTTATTAACTAGAAGGGAAGATGGATCGATAGAAAGATCAATGTATAGAAAACCTACGTGGACTGAGCAGTACCTTGACTGTCATAGTTTATGTCCAATACAGTACAAACGAGGTTTAGTAAGACGTTTTTTCAAAAGAACCCAACTTATCTGCATAACAGAAAAAGTGTATCTTCTTAAGTTTTTCAGTCGTTATAAAAATGTTTCAACGTTGCAAGCCAATTAGTATTTCGTCCCGATGAAGGATGTTTACATCACGCTACCGTAAAAGAAGGGAATGAAACAACATGATCTTAAGACGAAGACTTAATATGGTTATTGAAAAGGCATTCTACCCAGCCAAGTTCAATTTTGTCGACGAAAAAGAAACTTATGCTTTAAAACAAACCTCATCACTAGATAGATGATTGCGTCACATCCCTCTAAGTATACTAATTTACCTATGTGTGCGATGAGATATACATTGGGAGGATTAGTCGATCTATGAAGTCAAGGGTGATGTGGCAGATCCATAAATGGTTAGAAAATTCACTACATTCGTATACTTCGATAAATACAGGGGGAAGACAGGCGTCATCGTTGATAGATAAAGACATTAAAGAAACATGTCACAGGATTGACCCAAAAACAGCCTTTAGACCATTGTATAGGAGCCGTCAAGACCATATACTTAGGTTCATTGAAGCCTCAGCTATATAAAAGTTCAAACCCATTTGTGTATTGAAAAGCAGTTTGTCCTTACCTTAAGCCTACTTTGATAATATTCATCCGATTTTAATGCCAACAGAGGTGTGAAAATGTATTATTTTTTTTACTATTCCAAATCATGTATTATCTTAATTTATTTATCTTACCCCATCCATTCATAAGAAATCTGAAGAAAAATGTTAGCAGCAGTACCAGTAATACAGGCGTTATTCATAATAATAATTCCACTACTTCTACTAATAATAATGGTGACAGGGTCGGGAAAGAATTCAAAGCCTCCATTGTGTTACCGTACAAGAAATGCATCTCGAAAGCATTACAAGAAAATTCTCGAAAACTCTGGCACTTAAACCAACAAACTCGCTTAGAAACAACTTTTGTAGGTTAAAAGATCTTACAGATCCAATTAGGCAGGATAACTTGATGTACCAAATCCTTTGCAGTGCTTGCAACATCAAATAAATAGGTCAAAGCAGTCGAAAAGGGTCCATTAGAATAATACAACACAAAAACCTTAGCTACATCAACATTAGTAAACCCTAGTCAGCTAAAAAATTTAGAAAAAGCTCGGCTATAGCTCTCGCACACAACCACATAGTAGGGCGGGATAGGGCGAAAGTTCCAAATCCAAACTCATTTCAGTGGATGGAGAGACTGACTACTGAATATTTGTTTATCGAATCAACACCAAATACATGCAATCGAAATGATTCTCCACCTGTGGAATATACTTCTACCTTTGTCATCACAAAGAAGGAGGGGAAATTAGGACAATATAAACTCTATCTCAAAGTTGTGGTTATGGACGATAAATTGTGTCGGGAACTTTATCCAGTGAGTGATTCTGTTTCATTGTGTGAAATGTTTAATAAACAGACTGAGATTGAATTACAGTCTGCTACAGCGCCCAAGTTTTACTTACCATATTAATCTTGTGACTCATCACTGCTAGCATTCCTTCATCACTTCCTAAGTCACTTGACCTCACCTTTATGTTATTTCATACCATAATTTGAGGTTATTGAAAGAGATAAAAGACTAAATTAAATCTAGTGAAAGCATGTATTAAAATCTAATCGAAGTACAAAACTACTATATTCATTTCCATTAAGACGTAGATGGAATTCGGTCACTTAGGAGGCACGACACCACATTTAATTTCATTTATATAACATTGTACTCTGACTCAGTACTATATGCCAAATAACATTCTGAACCGTATATATCTTCCGCAGGCACACGGAAGTAACCATAAAATTTTGGGACACCATTTGTGCCAGGTTTTATTTTGTCTTTTCCTGTAATATGTGCATAAGTATTTTCCGTTTATCATGCTTTTCTTGTACAGTGAATAACCAAAAATATAGGCTGTCTAAATTTGCTAGCATCCAGTTCTGTTATTTTTGAAAACCATCACAGTATTGTACTTTGTCTATAGTTACTTGCATAACTGTAATCAACCTGTTCTCCTGATTATCATCTTCTTATTATACTGTAACATTTATTCCTCTATTACCGATGATTTAGCTTTTCATTTAAACACCATATAAACAGTAGTCAAAGGAAACAAAAATATTGAAAGTTGTTTCGTCTGCTGCCAAACAATGCCCAAAATACTTTCATTTTGTTTTTGTTGCTTACTCTTACGACGGATAAATAAAGAAGGAAAAATGGATACTTTGAATAAGCTGCTGATCACAAGTCTCAGACAAGATTTTTGTTCAACATTTTCAGCTAAAAACGTCACACTGAACAATGCATTACTTGATAAAAAGTAGAAGAATTTTAAGTTATTCTCTATACAGAAATTTGAAGGTTTTATTCCCAAATCATATTCATTTCTTCGGGTATTGTAAATCCGATATATTCATAGTCACTGACGACCTTGTCGTTGATAAATGAGATTTTGTTCATCCACAACGTCACGAAAGAAGCTATTAGACATTTATATTCTGCAGTCGTATAACAGAATATGCATACAATGTTCATAGAAATGAACAATCGCAATACCTAAACTAGTGAACTACCGACATTTTAACTAAACGATTACTCAGCTTTTGATACGAATATTTCACAACTTTCAGGTCTTATGAGCATGATAATAAGAGCTATAACAGTTTCAAGACTGAAATCCTGTTTGAAAAAAGAGGTCAAATAAATAAGCATAATGAAAGCTTGTGATTTAAGTGAAAACTTCTCTTACTTGTAAGTAGTTTGAGAAATTACACCAAAAAATTGCTTACAGACGTTTAAATATTAACCACCATAAGTTTTGAATAAATGATTTTTCATGCAGTTAGAACCCTTGATTGGTTTGGGTGATAATTAATTGTTTGGAGGTAGGAAATTTAAGAAAGGGAAGAAAATAATCGACGAATAGATAGATAAAAATTTATGTAATGAAAATGAAGCAGGATCAAATTATAGTCACCAAGAGATTAACCACACTGTACTTCTGTATTCAAACGTCAAGTTGAAAGTGTTTTATTGTCATCGCTTTCACGGAGTGCATTAATCCAGACGCTTTCTTAACGCTGACTAGTTTAAAAGCACTCGAGACTTCATTCTGATATCCTGATCCTATGAAGTGTTTGGGGATTACACTAGTTAGAATTTTACTTCCTTTCCAACACATATTCTTGGTGATTTGCTTAGTGAAACAAAAAGACGCCCTCTTCTCAGTCCCTTCAGTTGGGTTACTACCATAAGTATATTTGAGTTCATCAATACAGTTGGAGGTCACATGAACCCAGTAATTATCCAATTTTAATTGATTTGGTGACCATGTAGTATTGTATACAAGTTTAGCTGCATGAAAGCTGGTTCTCAGTACTTGTTTGATTCTGTCGTCTATCTGCTTGGAAACTGCATCTTCCTTGAATGCAAGGTGCATGAATAACTTCTTCTTTTCCACTGCTGGATGTTCATTTCTTTCGATCTGTTCCTTTCCATACTTCATAATAATCTCTTAGGATACCTATTCTCTCGGAGACACCTCTCTCCATTTACTTGTTATTGTTATTCTTTTCTGATATTTCTACCCTCGTAAAATTATCTCTTCAACATGTTATATTGATTACCAACGATTTCGTTGTACAACTTTAGATTATTGATTTCGTCCCTACGTTCTAATAACCAGTGGACTTTTAAATTGTGTGCGACTGAAGAGTATTCATGAAATGAAATCATGTCATTTTATTCAGTAAATTTCACTCTTCTTGTCCTATTTCAATAACATTTCTGTAGCAACATCTAGCTAAAGCAGACTCTTTGGATAACGATAAAATTCAACAATAGCGGTTGTTTCTATCGCTTATACAGTTTTCGGAAAATGACTGATGAACACTTGAATTTATGTTCCAGAAGTGCACACGTGAATGGACATCCATGAAAGGCTCCATATCATTTCTGGTCATTCTGTCCACCTATGCCATTGGACCAATTAATTTTGATTGTTGGATAGTTAATCCTGGAGCTAATGTTTTCTTTGAAATCTTCCCACAAGTATGCTCTTCTTGTCAAAATATCTGTGAACCGAAATGGTATCCTGAAGAAATAGATAAGGTAACTTTTGCTTTTAAAATAAGCTACTTTTAGTATCTTCGTTGGAAAAATAATGATTTCAGCCAGTTTCTTTTATATACCTTATTTTGAATGGAATGTTATAAATGTCCCACTTAAAGACCTATTTCGGTGTTTGTTGAACTCTAACACACCAATCAACTAACAGCTACAACATGTTAATTTCAGAAGCGAACGCAACTGAACTGTAATTGAATATAATCTGACCATTCATTACAAAATCTTTGTAATGAAACTGAGATAACCTTTAGATAATGTTTATCCCGTGAGAATTTCATCATACAAGTCTAAGAAATCTGTTAACCTCTGAATTTGTTAGCCGGTCACTAGTCTATAAATATGATCCCTAGAAAACATCATGTAAATAAGATTTGTTTGAATAGACTATGCATTTTAACAACGAATTCTAATGATTGTAGTGAACAACATAAAACGTCTAACCATCTTCATGAAAAAAAGTTATTTTTTATAAGACACAGTTAGTAGAAATTTCCAATAAAAGGATCATCCTTTTTGTGGTACGAATCAAAAAATGGATACACGGAGGATTTTCTAGTCAAAAATGTATTCGAATATAATGTCGGTAGTAGAAGAATGTGCTTTCGTAAACAGCTAGCGATTGGAATGCTAGGTAGATCAAGATAACGATTCTTCCTTAAAAACGTTTTAACGGAATAGTTCACTTCTTCTTTGCATGTCTGGTTTGTCGAGCTGTTGTACCTTGCATACTGTTGATATATTTTCATAGAAAGGTCGACGGTTTGGTCTTCCGTATAACAACGACATCATAACTCTGGATCCAAACAATAAACAGTTCACGTTAAACGATTTTTATGCTGTTTGTTTCCATGTGCTTTGATCCAGAACAATATTATTTTAAAATCACGTGAACATGATTCAATCTTCACTGTGCATTAAATGTCTTATTCAGTTGAATAAATTAAAACATTTCAGGTACCCTAATATTCTGTCGTGGTAAGTTTTTGTGATTACTTGCTGATTAAAGACGGAATTTACTGACGGAAATTTTGGAAAGATATGACTGGCATGAAGTTTATATGGAAAGTCCTACTTTCACTTAAACATTAAACATTTGTTAGCCTTTTATGGCATTGGAGTCTTAGATAGGGCATTCGGATGCCTCTCTTTACCTTGTTGATATTTGTACGGAATTTTAATGAATAATTAATCCAAATAACTAGTTTTGATTACTTTTACCTCCCGGCAACTATGTTTTTTTTTCTAGTATTTGTAATATACCCATTATGAGCAAAATATTTTTGCTTCCATATTTCTGAATTTCATTTTATGCTACTAGTGACTAATGAGTAGCTAAACGTTTTTAAACAAATTTCTGAAGCCCTGGGTTTAGCAGATAATTTACTTCCTCAGCATTGTTAAGATGATCTGTTGCGCATGAAAACAGAAATATTATCCCTACAGTAGTAATAATCTTAGGGTTAAATGAGATTCATTTCTATCCTCCTTCTGTCTGGTATCACGCCTACTGACCAACACCTATGTATCACTTGTCTCTTTTATTGATGTTTCACGATGTCACAGAACACTTTTTAAACATCGTTCACCTAACTTAACACGGATTATGCAAGCCTATCATAGACTAAATCTCCTGTGCATTTTCTCTTCTACTATTCAATTAGGATTGTTTTCGAGTGTTTCAGTTTGCCATATTATAAGGCAATATAAACCCACCTTTAAAACTTACATATATCAACGCAATCAATGATGGATAATGAATAGCACTGGAATCCGTGACGCATATTTCGTCCTGTTCGGGATTCGTCAGCCGAATATGCCTGCCTCCTAGTGGACGGTGTTGTTCCCACTAAGTCTCGAGCCCAGAACTGACCGCTCCAAACATCAGAGTTCCAGAGTCACCATAGCCGCTTCTTGTAAGATGGCCATAGATTTTATGTTGTTACTTGTATTATCCCATCGTTGACTGGACCGAGGTGATCGGTCTCTTAGTGGTAACAAGTCACTCACTGGGGTGAAGGGTGAAGGTCCAGCTGATGAGTCCCAGACAGGATGAAACGTCCGTCTTGGGTTCCATTGCTAACCACTATGCATCACTAATCTAAAATTGAAGATAAAGAGAATATCGAGGCATCTGAAAAGCAGCTCCTATTCCAATATAGACTGACTAATTCAGTCCAATAAACTAGGGGATAAAACAAATGACAAAATATCTTAGCAGTTCTCATTCAAAAGTGAAACTTTTTAAGCACTGCTTATGTGCACAATCTTCATTACATTTTTGTCTAGCAGTATGTGCCATGCATTATGTAAGCTGAAAAAGATTCTGACTTGACGTTCTTCGAATCTAAGATGAAGTAATGTTTATAAATGAAGAAGGGCAGACACATTCAGTATCAAGTTGATATTTATTCCGGACTGATGTCACTCGGAAAACCATTGAGGACAAATAATCACTGGTAAAATCTGATGATGGTCTTGCTAGATAGTGGATTAAAAGAAGTAGAAAAATGTGAACCATTGAACTACTACCCAGCAGATGATTGGAAATGTGCTTGCTTCAAGACTTCCTTGTCTAAGGTTTGACCTTTGACGGAGTTGTGGGTGTGCACTGCTAAGCAGCCCGGTACTAGGAGGAAACAGGTATCCAGTGCTCCCAAGTTTTCAATGGTTCATCAAATGATGTCAGTCTGGGGTAAATACCACCCTGAATATACCTTATCCCTACAAATCTCAAGATACCAAGGTATACCATTAAATTTTTGTGGAAACTATGAAATAGTTTGAACTAGAGATCAACGGTATGATTGACACTTGTTAGCATTACATACTCACGACCATCTAGCTGAAGGCCTTGAAGTCTAACGTTTAGTAAAATAGATCCCTATTTTCTATCATGAAACTTAGTGGCTTCATCACAATATAAACTGTTTGACTTCTTCCTGAAAATGAGTAATGACAGCTACACTAGTTGTCAACTGGTAACTAATTCATGAAACTTGTAGAAATAGTTACTGTAGCTGTCTGAAATCATGGTGATGTCAGTGAACTGGTTTCATTGCTACATGATGATGACTGAAGATGAAATGAAATTCTTGGTCGTGATAGAATTGGAAGAAATGGCCTTTGGATTACCAATCCATCTCTCTATTAGTTGAGCTTCAAAACTCAGTGACTGGTCAAGTTTTAACTTCATTCACCAACGGTTTTGACTCATGGCTTATAAATTTCACAGGGATTAGTATGGCCAAGTATAGTCACAGAATAGTTGGATCTTTTTTCTGTTTCCAAAGAAAGAATAAAAATCATATGAGGAAGTATTTCTTATCCTTTATGTTCTACAAATTTCTAGGCTAACTGATTCTTGTGGATTAATATACATTGGCTTCATATATGCAGGAGTCTAGTGACTTATCAACATGATGACAGTGATCGTAATTCTAGAAATTCTTTTGAAATTAGTAACGCACTATCAGCCTACTATATTAACTCATTTGAAATCTGTTGTTGTGTGTTTTCACTAAGTCATTACTCATCGTTTTCCATATGATCCACATGCTTTTTCTCATAAGCATATACTTTGTGGTAATAACGATTTTTAAACCAAAAATAAGCATCCCAATATTTTGATTAGCAACTAATTTCCATTTTTGGGTTTAGTTAATGGCACGTAAAGTATTCGATAAATACCGATAGGTTTCTTACTATGACGTACTAGTCATTTTCAGAAATCTGACAAGGAGTTCGAAAGTATCCAAAGCTATAATTTAGTCGCGAAATATTATTATTATTATTAGTCCCTTGGGTTCCTAATGGAACATAGGGCTTCACTAGCACGTCTCCAGTCAACTCTGTTCTCTGAAATCTTTTCAACCTGGCTCCAAAACTGCCCACAAGCCCTCATTTCCGCCTCACACGATCTCCTCCATGTCACCCTCAGCTAGGACACCCAACTCGTCGCTTCCCATGGGGATTCCACTCGAGGGACTGGCCTGACGCGTGATGTCCCCAGTCGGCCTTCTCAGTGTATGCCCAATCCATCTCCACTTACTCCTTCTGCATATTTGTTGAGTGATAGGTTCTTGGTTGGTTCGTTCTCAGAGCTCCTTGTTGCTTATTCTTTCTGGCAATCCATCTGATCTTCAGTGTTGAGTGAGCGTAAGCGGTTGTTGATGAATGTGTGTAGTTTATTGGAAATCCCTTTCATAGTGCGCCAAGTCTCTGAAGCATACAGAAGCACTGACTTGATGGGAAATACTTAGTGAGACCCTATTCCACAGACTACAGAAGATTAGTAAAAAACGTTTTTTGCAGCTAGTCCACCCCTTTTTATATAGTCGACGATTTGTTCTGTATTGAATGAAGGATAGGTTACCTAATTTCGCTACTTGCATGTGTATTTACTAGTTTAATTACTCCTGTGGATACAGTTATATTGGATGTACGGCTACGCAACTCCACTAAATTATTACCGAAACACCTATCTTCATGACTGGGAAGAAGACAGTTTAAATCTATGGGAAACTCTATTTTGTCCCATCTATTTGATAGTGGTTACAGGCTGGATGAGAAGGAAATGTTCAAAATGATTTACCGCATCGCACCGAACCTTTCCGATGGCATTCGAATCCTCTTTTTACATATAGCTAGGGCTTTAGAAATCCGAATAAACAACCGAAAGTTCTGTATTCAAAATCCATTTGCACAACTAGTATCCCTGCCTTGGCCAGTAAAGACGTAATGAATGATCATACTTATGAATTTCTAAAATTCTTATCTTTGCCCCTTTATTTAGCTTCTGTCACCCTTTTCACACCACTAATATACTCACATTTAAACTTTATTTATCCACTCAGTTCATTCTCCAACCTTATTCTTCTGTTTCCAAGCTTAGAACTACTTTGTCCGTGTATCTAGACACCTGTTCCCATTATTATGCCATTCTCAACATTCGTATTATTGCGTATACTACTACTAGTTTAATT